TGAAATTACCAAATATCTAACTGAACATGGTAATTTTAACTAATATCTGAAGAGATTTGGGTTATCTAATACAGACTTATGTTCCTGTAGCTTTGGGGGGTGCCAAATGTTGAGTATATGTTGTTCGGTAGTTCAAAGCTAATGGGAAGGAAGAAACGAACTCATTTTCAGCACCATCTATGTGCTTGTTCAAGACAAATTAATTAGTCTTCTCTTTTTTCTGTAAATTTATTCCATATGTTTCTTCTATGAATCTATAATTTTAATTTATTGTATGTTTTAAAGCATAAAATTGACCCCTCACAAATGAAATTTAAAACATTTTGGGCAAGGTAAGAAACATCATGTAGCTGCTTTCCATAAGTAGTATGTTGTCTGAGAAAGCAAGGTTATTTATTATTTATTTATTTTAAATTTATGTTTCAAATTTAAGCGTACATTCATACTATTAATTTTATTGAAATTAATAACCCACTTTTCTAATGTTTTGATATTTTCTTGTGTATGCAGTTTTATGTTCTTAAATTTAAAATATTCTGATTTAACTTTAGTTTCAGTCAGTATAAAGATTTAATTTTATGAGTTAGCAGTTTTAGGATAGGGTACGAACTGCGCCAAATTTGATCGAAGATCCCCGTCCCCCTCTTTTCTAATTTACGAACTGCGCAATGTTTTCTGTCCCCTATTTCTTTCCCAAGAAGATCGGGTGCTACAAAAAGTCATTTATCGCCATTAATGGGACATTCTATTGAGACTGCAAGCCTTTATTTTCGTTTATCGATATTGTAAAAATTGTGCATGCAAAACAAATATTAATTTAAAGTCTGGCGTGTGCTAAAGTAAAAATAATTTCTTTTACACTGATTTTAAAGTTTTATGATGCTTAAAGGAATAATGAACCAGATCGTTTTTATTCTCTGTAAAAATTAAAAACTTTCCAAGTTGCAGATTTTAGTCGCTGATATATATATATATAGTATATATATATCAGTTTTGAATAGTAAAATTGATAGATTAATGACACACAAAACTAATACATAATCAACGTATCAAATATCGGATTTGTAGCTCACCTTAAATAAGTTTCTTGTCTAGATAAATATTAACAAATCTTCTTAGATAGCAGAATGGTTTGAACTTTCAAATTTACCATTTTAGCTAAACAGCTCTAATTTAATTTAAAAAATTGTCTTTATTAAGTCTAAAAATTGGACTTCTTAAGTCGTTCTAAATTCACACTAATATTATTGCAATATATTCCCATATTAAGCTTTCCATTTTTAATCATTGAAGTTATTTTAAGGTTATTTAACTTTGTTACAAATTCCATATTTTAATACTAGAAACGTTTAAATATTTATTTTGTTTTCCACCTGATGTACTTTGGCATACATTTAATTTCTAATATACGAGGGCTATCCAGAAAGTAGATTACGTTTTGAATAAAAAAATAACAAAGTAAGGAAACAAATTTTATTATATACAGATGAAAGCCACATTCAATACTACTTTTCTACATAGTCACCATAAAAAATTAAGGCATTATCGTAGCGATGTACGAGCTTGGAAATTCCTTCGTCGAAAAATTCGGCCGCCTGCGCCTTCAACCACTTCGTTACCTCTTCTTGCAGCTGTGCGTCGTCATCAAAACGCATTGATTGCAATTTCGTTTCACAGTTCACATTTTCACCCATGTTTCGTCACCAGTAACGATGCGAATCGAGTAAAGAGTCACCAATCCTTATGGTAAGCGTCCAAAAAGTCAACGCTGCAGCCATTCGCTGATTTTTGTGGTCCTCTGTCAAGATTTTTGGAATCCATCTTGCACAAAACTTGTGGTAACCAAGCTTTTCGCTGATGATTTCGTGCAACAAACTTCGCGAAATTTGTGGAAAACTCAAAGAAAGTTCCGTTATTGTGAAATTTCGATTTTCACGGACTTTAGCATCGACTTTTTCGAGAAGTTCGGCGGTCACTATGCTGGGTCTCCCACTTCGATCTTCGTCGTGAACATTGGTTCGGCCATTTTGAAATCTTATGACCCACTGACGCACTCCACCTTCAGTGATAATGTTGTCCCCATACACTTCACGAAGCTGCCGATAGATTTCTATCGGTTTACAGTTTTTTGCAGTCAGAAACCTTATTACTGAGCGCACCTCGCAGCTCGCGGGATTTCAATAACGCAGACATTTAAACCGTCACAGTATCTGAACGGAGCACAGCACGAACCTCTCACTAGCACGGCTAGATGCAGACTGAGCTGCGCAACGCTCTGACCCCAAGATGGCCGCGCTAGCCCCGCCCCTAGCGGACACAGACGGAAACGTAATCTACTTACTGGATGCCCTCGTACATTAATTAATAAATTAATAATTATGAGCATCAGCAGAATTTTCATAATTAGCAACAAAAAAAAAAAAAAAAAAAAAAAAAAAAAAATCAAACTCCCTTATATTCATATCCTGGGATTTTCAGTTCTCTTTTAATCCATTCCTTTTTCACATATTGTTGCACTGTACTCAAGTTTTCATGTATGTAGAATGTATTTATTTTATATTGTATTTATACCAATTTATATTTAAATGATAATTTTTACAAATTCTTGCATCATAACTCTAGTTAACAGAAGATGTTTCTAACACATTGGTAAAGCTTAATCTTCAGCATGCAGCTTATTTTCTAACCTAGTTTCAGGCTGAATTATTTATAAAATTAATTATTTGAAATTATTTGTTAACAAAGATGGTCGCTAAATCACGCTAATAATATTTCTAACTGTTGTAATTTATAATGCAACGAGTTCATGTGATTTATAATGTAATTCATTTATAATTTTTTCAGCAGTAATGAAATTAATAGCAGATACTGATAATGATATACATTTAGACTACAATGATTTAGATTGCCATTGCCTTCTTCACTCATGCTTTTATGCTACATTCCTAATATTTTATAATGGCATACAGGTAAGGTATATTTAACTCATTCACTAAACATGTAAATCTCTAATTCAGCCCACTCTTGTTCTTATGTGTGCTGTATCTTCTATTTTCTTTAATATATTGTTCAGCCTAATTTCAAAAGGTCTTATGATCGAAGCGGAAGAGTCACTAAACATTGGTAGTTCGACCCGAGTTTCTAGTCCCAGTGAAATCCCCCAGCTCTTTCTTTTTTTGGTACTTATTTACTGTGTAAAAATGTATGCGTAAAAATTTCAGTTCATGAAGCAAAAATATTTTTTAAAATTTATTCTTTAAAAATATTGCAAAAATTTTCACCTTTACATTAGCATATCTTTTTACAAATCCCTTTAATAAGAAAAAATAAGGAAAGAAATTAACTCGGTTTCGGTGATTGATACCTCGGCGCAAATTATATGTAACATTTCCCCAAAAGCATAGAGTTTATGTGGATATCAATAAATTAAGGATTATTTCTCCATCTAATTTTCATAACATGTTTATTCAAAAATTTTCTTTCCACACTGTAGCGCTTAACTTTATGAGTTTTCTATAATCATTCAATTTCTCTAGCCATGGCAACTTTGCATACCTTCTGACAAGTCGTTATATTTTTAACCACTGTATTTTAATTTCCTGTTTGACTATCAGTACATTATTCACTTGTTTCACAAGTGCAACTTTTATTTTATACGCTGATCTACGTAAAATAGCATTAAAACTTCAGTTATGCGGAGCTCCTGATCAATTGCTTGTTTTAGATTGAATGAAATTAAATTTAATGTTACTGTTAATTAGCTTGTTATTAATTTAATTATACATTTCTAATTAATTATATGTTCAGATATTTCCAAGTATATTACTCAAACTTTCGCATCCCAATTTTTAATTTTTGGTTAAAAAAATAAACTTTTATTTATTGAGAGGCCTGATTGATTATATTAATTTGCAGTATTGTTTATCTAATTCCTTTCTTCTATATAAATTTTAGAAAGAATTTCTTAGCATAATAATTTTAATTTATTTACAATTTATACGTCAGTTTTCCAAATGCATAGTAATGCTGTTATAATAGATTTCATGCTAAGCTTTTTTTAAATTTAACTAAATTTAATTTCTGCAAACATTTACATGATTACTTTAGTTAACAAAAAATATTTTTAGTACACTTTAACACACTTGGATATGGAATAATTTTTTGCACTCTATTAAATTTTCCAGTCTAGTTCAGACATCTTGACTATTATTGATGTAATTTATTAAAAGTATAATTTGTATGCTTTATAATTATTTAATTTATGATACTATTATAATAAATGAAAGATGTTTGTAATGCTAATATGTATGTTCACCAATACCTTTTATTTTCTTTGTTAGCTCTCGCATTTATTACTATTATTCAAGTAATTAGGTATTAAATTCAAGCTAATATGTATGTTCACCAATACCTTTTATTTTCTTTGTTAGCTCTCACATTTATTACTGTTATTCAAGTAATTAGCCTGCTTGTTAGATATTTTTTACTTGTTTTTGTGATATGTAATTCTATTTATTTATTTTTATTTTCCTCTTGGCTACAATTGGCTTCAAAAAGTTAAATTGTAACCCTGTAGGCAGCAGGGGGAAGAAATTTTGATTGGCGCAGTTCGACTATAGCTTGACCCAGGGAGGGGGATTTTCATTAGTGCAGTTGGAGTACACCCAGTTTTAGATATGTCATAAAAATAAAATATTTATATGACTTTTTAATATTTGTAAACATTTTTAATGAAAATTTGTTTTTGCAGTGTCCATTTTTTATAGACTAAAAGTATATATATATATAGAGAGAGAGAGAGAGAAGTGTTTCATTAAAGATGATCACTTGTAGCGTCTTTTTTAATAGTTTAAAGCTTACTAAACTTGAAATTTCTTATCTTAAATTAAATTATAATTTAAAATCAAATTTTAATTTGTATCATATTTTAATTAAAATTTTATTGCATTATTGTTATTGATAATAATAGTTTTTATTTTGTTATCCCTTTCTGTATAAAGATGCTGTTATCAAAATGTCACAATCGTGCAATGCCAAGTGAAGATGAAATTTCAATTCACATGGCTGACAGTTTGATCCCTCCATATATGCCTCATGGTCCTCATGGTGCACGTATCACAATGACTTCTTCCATCTCCCTAATAAATAGGTATTTTTTCTTCTGATTTTAATTACAGTTTACAAATATCTCTGCATTAAGTTGCCATATAATTAATATGAATATTTTTAGTATCCCAGTCACTGACACCATTAAATTTAGCAATTATGAGTGTTGCAGTACATAGTGTTCAGAATTTGGCTATTAATGCTTGCCTTGCCTCACCCCTTTGAGTTATACATTTTTTATTTGTGTTAAGATATTTTAATAATTTTAAATGAAACTTAGTGAAACTAAGAAAAAAATGTTCATGATAATTCAAAAATTCATTTAAGCTTAGAAGTATAAATAATTTAACATGTCCTTATACATGAAAAGTGCTGTTTAAATTTTAAGACGTTCAGCTTTAATTATGCTCTTACTTATTTAATTTAGTTAACATATTAGTATAAATTTTATATTAATAGTTTATCTGTTATTTTCAAAAAGTCTGCTATTTTATGGTATTGAAGAATGTTATGAAGTGCCACCCAGACCATATAGTGGTTGGGGGGAGCTAACTGTGATACTGATGTATCCGGGTTCAAATCTCAGAGAGGGCATTGTTGTAACTGTCTGTCCCTTCATAGGAAGCAACGGTGGCTGCCTATTAGGTGTCTCCACATTAAAATGGCCCCCACTTCAAATTCTTAGTTCTTTTTCTTCAATTGCACTACAACCTATCACAGGCAAAGGCCGTCTCAACAAGCTTCCTCCAGTGGATTGGATTAATAACTACAGTCCTCCAATGACTGATTTTCTAAAGTCTTGAGATCTGCCTTCAGACAGTATATCCATCTTATGTGAGATCTTCCTCTTTTCCTAGTATCCAGTACAGTTGCAAAGATCACCTTTTTTAACAGGGTTCAAGTCGTCACATCTAATTATATGTCCAGTACGATAAGATTTGATGACTCCTACAATATTAGATTGTTTGTGTCTTCTATATCTTTCATAGTTAAATGAAATTTCCCATTTGTTATTTTCTCTAACTGGGCCATATATTTTTCGTTCAAAGATTAGAAGTCTGTCTTCATTTGTTTTCGTGAATGGCCAGCAGTATACTAGGTCTAATAAGAGTTCTATAAAGATTTATTTTTGTCTTGAAGCTGGTTCTGCAGCCATGTTGTAATTTAGATTCTCAATAACCTTCCTCACTTCACATAAGGATGGTGCATCATTTTCAGTAACGTTCTGATCGGTAGTTATATCAGCCTCCTCCCTTGCTAGGTCATTTCCACAGAGAAGATCTCTAAATCTCTCCATCTTTCCAGCACTTCAAGTTGCTTGCCATCACCTTTTCTACAAGTAATATTCCCAGGATAGGCAAAAGTGAGATAGAGCTCTGATTTTCTGGTAAAATTTTCTTGACTCATTTTTTTATCTCTTTAAACTGTTCCTTCAAATATGCTCCCCTTTTTGTACAAAACAGTCTTTTTTTTTTTTTTTTCCTTCTCAACTCTATAATTTTCCTTGACTCCTCTAGTATAGTGTTTTTGAATGGAAGTTTATAAGCTTTGTTTTTGTCCTCAGTAATTTTTGTACATTCACAATCATATCATCTATGTCGTTTATTTGCTTTCAGTTCTGGTATAACTTCCCTTGCAGTATCCTTGTCTGTTTCCAGGAGAAGTCACCATTCTGTAAATCATCACATTTCATTAGCCTTTCTTTTGCTTTATTTCTATAATCTTTCATTGTCACAAGTTTGCACATTGAGTCAACCTTTGTGCCTGTTCCAAAAGGTCTTACCCTTTCTCTCAGCCTGGAAATCACCAGAAAGTGATTGGAATCAACATTGGCTTCATAATAACTGCAGACATCAAAAAGCCACTTTCGGTGTCTTAGATCCATCAGGAAGTGATCAGTCTGATTTCATTTGGACAGCACCATGTGACTTTATGTGTATTTGTATGTTCAAAGAAGGTACATTTTTATTTTCAAAATCATTGAGTCCTAAGCCATCATCACTGATTTCTGCATGTAAATTGTGATTACACACAGAATTCCCCTCTAATCTCATGCCAATCTTTGCATCAATTTACTAATTTCATTTTAGGATAACCTGAGAAATCTGGTTAATATTTTCACTGAAAATAGTGAAACTCTGTACACAAAATCCACATTAAGTAAACTGTGATGTGTACATTCCCGTGGTTAATAACACATCAGTTAACAGTTATATAATCTGTAATTTTTTCATCAAAATTGAAGAATTTTAAAATGAATAAAGAATTATGAAAATTACTCTTTCAGTTGAACTTTTCTGTTCATATGAATAGGTAGGTACCTTCCTAAGACAGCTCAGAATTTCAGATCATTTACAGACATATTTGTAGAACGTGATTATCAGTGATGTTCAATATAGTTGTTGTTTTCACTTAGCTATAAAATCATGTTCATAGCAACAACAACAACAAAAAAAAAAAAAAAAAAAAAAAAAAGAGAGAGAGAGAGAGAGAGACCAGAAACACGAGAGCACATTTGTTGCCAATTTATAATACATATAATCTTATCATCTGTATTATGAAAATGTGTTGCTTATCTGTAAAAAAAATTTTTAAAATTGTTTTATTTGTACTTTTTAACAGTTTGCAATAATTATAATTTTATACCGTAAGCTTGTTAAATAAATTACATTTCAAATATGGTATGCAATTATTTCTTATAAACTGTATAAATGCATATGCAATTATTTCTTATAAACTGTATAAATGCAATCTATGGCTAAAAACTTGTGCACTTAAAAAAAGTGCTGAATCATGATGAAACTGATCAAGAACATGGAAAAGACAAAGAAAACATGAGAATAGCTACAGAATGAGTAACATCATTTATTGCAGCAAGAGCAGTCCAAAACCATTACAGGTAAATATAGCATAACAGCCTCAAGCATATATCCATGCATAAATCCACTTTGTCATGAACACATATAACATATACTAGACTTGTAATGCTGTCATAAGATGTCTCTCTGTATTCAGATCAGTAAAATTTTGAAGTGAAGCTGAACATGTTTTGCAGTGCTAGGAGCCAGGTGCCATCCATTTTCCAAATATGTCCCATGGGGAAAAGATCAGATGATCAGGGCAGCCATTGAAGAGTACCCTGTTGTAGAGAAAATCCAAAGCGACTTGCACTGTAAATAGATGAGCATTATTATATTTAAAAAAAAGCCCCTGGCACGCCTGACAGCATGAGTACTGTAACAGGCTGCAGAATATCATTGATGTAATGTAGGGCAATTAAGGTCATTTGCATGATAACTGAAGGTAGCCAGGTGTCATATGCAGTAGATCCCATGTGACAATGCCACCAGTAATGGAAATATTATGGCATAATGGAAATTTATATACAGGAACATGGGATAGGCGTCGGCCTGGTTGCCTCCACAGATGTGGTGGTCATCTGAGACAAGCAAGAACTTATATTCATTACTGAAAATGATGTGAATCCAGTCCAGCTCACCATACACATACTGTGTATATTCAGTGGCTGTCCATGTTTAAGGACATGTATAGATGGGGCTGGGATATCTGCCTGTCAAATATCGTTATGTTCTTATGTATGTTCACAGTATACAGATGGAAGACAAAATAATGCGGAGCACGTTTAAGTGGAGCATCGGTTATGGAAACAGCAAACCTTATGGGTTGTGCAAGGAGTATGGTATCAGCCATTATGACAGCGTACACAAAAGAGTGTAAGACGATGTCTTCAAAACACAACAGTGGCCGAAAGTCAAAGCTAACTGATAGGGATAGATGGGTCTTGAAGCGCATAGTAGCCCGAAAGCACAAGCAGTCGTTTTTCGAGATAACATCCAAAATTATCAGTCATCTCCAGGACCCCGTTTCAACAAAAACTGTCAAAAGGGAACTTCATGCTGCGAACATTTATGGCAGAGTGGCAATTCGTAAACTCTTGGTAACAGTAACTAATGCTTTCAAGCGATGCCAATGATGCAGAGATCACAAAGGTTGGCCCCCACAGCAGTGGCAACAGGTAATATGTCAGATGAATCGTCATTCACCCTATTTCAGACGACATGGTGTGTTTATGTCTGGAGAATACCCAAAGAAGCCTTTCATCCTGATTGCCTCTTGCCGACTGTGAAGTATGGGGGTAGCGCCATTATGGTAATGGGTGTAATATCTTGGCGCAGTCTTGGTCCACTTGGTTAGTCTGCATGGGAGGATCACATCCAATCACTATCTAACCATTCTATGGGATCATGCCCATCCTTTTGTCCAGACTATATTCCCTGGAGAGCGACCACTTTTTCAAGACGACAACACCCCCATCGACACTACTAGGTGTATTCAAAAATGGTTCGAAGAGCATGACGATGCAATTGAACTTATTGCTTGGTCCCCTCATTCTCTGGACTTGAATATTATTGAACATTGATGGGCATATTTGGAGTCCAAACTTCGTTCCTGATTTCCACCTCCATCCGGACTTTCGGAATTCGAGACCGCTCTGCAGGAGAAATGGCTTAATATTCCTTTAAATATTGTCCATGACCTTTATGCATCTATCCCACGTAGCGTTCAATCTGTACTTCAGTCAAAGGGTGTTCCAGCCCCCTATTAATAAAGATTTTCCATTATTTCACAGGTATTCATATTATTTTGTCCTCCATCTGTATATATGGGTTGCAATGCAAAATTTGTAAATTTACTTCTTGTACTACAGTTTACATTCAAAATAAAGTGTAAGTGGTAATAATAAAAATTTTCTGCAGCATACAGATGGCAAGTCTTCCTCTATATATTATTTCACATTTTTCTATTTTCATAAAATTACCAGTTTTCTCATGAAACATATAACCGTTAACTTGATAATATTTCCAGCAAGAAGACATTTTTTTCATCATCAGCTCATTTCAGTTTTGCCAAAATATAAGAAATAAATCTGTTTTGTATTTCATTAAACTAAGAGGAAAATAGAATAATGCACTTTAAAAATTTTAAATTCCAAGACAAGAACAGCATTATGAGAGATAAGAACTTCATATTTAATTTAATAATAGCCAATGGGCAATACTTGTGCATGCCATTTGCATATTGCAAAATTTTTTTTTCCTCATGCTGTCTTTTAAGTTTATTTAGACAGTAATATAATATTTTAATATTTTTCATGCTTTTCTTTGTATTGTTTTATATTTAAAAAATAGTAATTTAATATCTTTTAACTGATTGATTTTTTTAAAATTTTATTTAGGAATTGTAAAAAGCTAAATTTTTGAGTTGACAGCATGGGTGATTTGCTAGATAAATATTTTAAATTAGTTTCTTAAGAATTTTATTTCTTAAGAAATCATTTTTAGAGATGATCGTTTCAGGGAGAGATCACTTGAAGATATATACAAATTTTCTATCCTTTAGATATACAAAAATTCACTATCCACTTGTGTTTTTATATAATCTTGCATTATGCTGCATATTATATAAAAAAAGACTCTACTAATAATTTATTCAGTCACGTTTCCAACCTAAATGTTAAATAAAGACTTTATTCATCAACCTTGTTTTATCTATTCTAATTTGTTTTAAAGAAAATTAAACAGTTTTTTTATAGTTAGCTTCTGTTGGCATACTTATATTTGATATTAAATTAAAATTCTTCATTATCAGTTTAGCAGATGATTATACTAAATATCACAATTTACTTGCAAATGATGGCATTTTAAATAATTCTTGTAACTGTGTAATATCTCTCTGACATTATATATATTTTTTTAAAGTGCTGATTAAAAAACAAGTATTTTTTAAAAATTCTGAAAATGGTGTGATGAAAATCAGGCAGTAAAGTTATGATAAAAACTGACATGTAGCCATTCACAGAAGATTTTAAAATCTAGGCTTAAGGTAAGAATTTTATCATGCGAAATTATTTTTGACACCTCTTTGGAAACTTGTACCAAATTTCAGATGCAAATAAATCAAAGACTTCTCATACTGAGTTTACATAATTTGAAGTGTAGAATTGAATTGTGGAAAAAAAAAAATATCATTTTTGAAGAAGCTGTTTTTTTGTTTTGACTCACGAATGGGAGAAGTAGATTTCCCATTCTAGAGTCAGAGTTTTTTACTTTTCCACATTGTACATAACTGTCCAGTGCAGTAGTTGTATTTTTTTTTAAATTATTATTTTATCACCTCTTGAGAATTAAGCTAAACTGTCAAACTCCCTTACTTACGTTTTTAAGAGAAAGAAATAAATTGCATTGCAAATATATATTACAGAATATAATAAGCTTTATTTTTATCTTATTTAACATTGATAGTTATTTACTATTCATAATTTATCAATTAAAATTTACTGTGTAGCATGAATGATCATGTATTTTGTGTCATTTGAAATTTCATATATGTATGGTCAGTCCTGAAACATATTATCCTCAATTACAGGACACTACTATATTTATTTCGTTGATCCAATGACCATATAGATGTTAATGCACTTCTTATCATAATTATGGGCTAATTTTTATACTGTACAAATATACATTATTGTAGATTATGTCTTATTACAGTTTATAAAAATGGGCATTGTGTTATTCATGTTTTGAGGCACCTGTTTGCAGATATTGTGCTAGCTTGCCCTGTGATATGGCCACAAAGTTAACACCACGATGGGAAATAAAAATTGTGGATCCTGAATCTAATGAGAAGGAATATTACTGCAGATTGCGTATGCCAATAAATTCACCTTTAAGGCAGATAATTACTGTAAGTTTAATGTTGCATATATAATATTTTTTAAGATTAATATTTTTCTATCATTGTTTAGTAATGAATCTATGCTGTATTAAGAACTTATTGATAAATCGTAGCAAGACCATAAATTTCATTAACTTAAATGAACCTTTTAATGACTTTTGATTTGTAAAGTTTAAATTTCACTTCAAAATAAACCTTCTTTGTATTTTAGCATTATATTAGAACATTATAAAGTACAATAATTAATTGTTCTGTGATCAGTGATTTTAATTTTAATATATTTATGTTTTATGCTTTAGTATTGGCTATTTTTATAATATTTAGTAATAATAAATATCATGACTTAATTTAATCAAATTTAAATGTAGTGTGTAATCCAGTAATGTAATGTGTGATCTAAATTTTAATGTGGAAATTGCAGTAAGTAGTAAAGAAGGAAGTTTGCTTCTTATCTGTTTTTGTCTTTCCCCTAACTACAACATGTGAACTGCCTTTTGGGAAATTAGAAAAAAATCTAGTCAAATCTGAAAGAGTTTCTTTCCCTATTTAAAGGCAAAGCAACGTAAATGCAAAAGAAGCTGCGATGGTACTGGGGAAATACACGTACTTAACTTCCTAGATAAATTGAGACTTTTTTTTCCCCCCTCGTCTTAACCCTTTGAGCGTTATGACTGGCTTTATCCGGTCATCAGAAGTTTCGCTACTTGGCATATATTAGCTTATAAGTTAAGATATTTTGTTTTCTTACTTCCTTTAATAATGTAAATGTCATCTTAAGGAAAAGTTTATGAAAATACAACCTAAAATAAGTAATTATACTAACTCAATTAATAAATGCTGTTTAACTACCAATCTTCATGATGGATCTAAAATCCTGTGCCGCCAGAAGCGTAGCTAGGGTTTTTAGTGCCCGGAGACAACTGAGATTTTCTGCCCCTTTCTGTGTACCAAGCATGTGAAGCATTTCATAACATCAATTGGCACCCCCTGAATGCTGCGGCCGGGGACAGCTGTCCCTCCTTACCCCACCCTAGCTACGCCACTGTGTGCCGCTCAGAGAATTAATTGATAAATGCTAACTGATTTGATAAGTTCTTAAAGGAATCTTGCATCTGAAGGGAAAAAGTAGAAAAGAAACTAATTTTCCTTCTGAGGGGTGAACAATTATGTTCTGGCCAGTTTGTTTGAATTTGGATATGACTTGATAACTGCAGTATCTCAAAAGCAACATGCTAACTAATTTACATAACATTAACATGGAAGTGCAGTGGGAATTGATTAAGATAAAAAACATTTCTGATCTAGTAAATGAAGTTACCTATTATGCAAATGACCGTCATCCAATAACTTATATACATTCTGTGAAATTTGATTATAAAAATATAGTATGAAGGATAAAGATTTTCTTTTCTGTTTTTAAAATCTGACTTGTTATAAGCATAAAATCATACTTTACTTCTACATTAAGCCCACCAAAAATTCTCCCCCTTTTTCTAAGAAAAATTTTATATATCTTAAGTTTTTCTGCACCTGCAGTTAACTGTATTTATTTCCTGTTTTATTTCCTTTGTAATATACTTTCTCAGCCTACCAATTCTAAGAATGGGTACTATATTATTAAAGGAAATAAAAGAGCAACAGAACCAATATAGGAGAGAAAGTTTCATGACCAAATAAAAATAGCCTAGGCATCCATACCATTGTTTTTGAGCATCTGTATTATTAAAAACCACTGTTTGTAATCTAGTCTTTCACTTGGCAATGATATTGTTTAAAATTAAATGTCCTTTTTTATGAAGAAGCTTTGTGATATTTTAATCCCATTAATCTAGTTTCTTTCAAAAGTTTATTTTAGTCTTTTTTCATTTTCTCCTCCCTCTCTTCCTATCCCCCCCTCAAATCAGTAATACACAGTGGAACCTTAGATTTCAAATGCAACAAACAGAGACAAATGAACAAACAATGGGATGGTACTTCAAGTGATGAATCATGTCTTGAGCTATAAACACTCAGATTGGTAACATATGTTTTTAAAAGTGTTTTCAGGTAACTTCCACATAATTAATACTTAGGGACTCATTCACCAAATTTTGGAACATCATTTTAGCAATTTTCATTGCTTGACTCTTATTAACAAAGCCTGACAGCCTGACAATGGATTCAATGTATGATAAGGTTCAACCATCTTAGATTAATTCTTATCGAGAAATTCGCTTCAGTGTACATATATTTTATATGGCAAACAGATTTTAGAGATGAATTAAATTTGTAAACAGAGGTTTTACTGTATACTATTGAAGCCATGTAACATGACTTATTGTTTATTTAATCCTATTGAAGAAAAATGTTACATCGTATAAACTATCTGTTTCTGTTAATTGTTGATGTATTAATAAATAATAATTTAATTACAGATTAAAATTATTTAAAGTGTTTTGTATCAGTTTCCCTTTACATATGTCAATCATTTAAAAAACATGGGTTCACAGACTTGCACAGTGCATCTACATTATTCATTCTTCATTATGTTAAATTTATTCTATCAAAATTTAAGCAGCCTAGGTAAGTTTGTACATTTATAAAAATAAAATGCAAAGAAGCATTAGGCATAACAAACATGTAGTTAATAATGAACCTAATTTAATTCTAATATCGGCGAGTCTTTTAATGTATAGAGCATTTCTCTAAAATAACCATTAGTTTAAGTGATTTTTTTCCCCCTCTCTCATTTTTAAATCTTGATGTTTTAAATTTATAAACTGTTTTATTTAGCTCTGTAATTTAATTTTAGGGTGACATTATGAAACAAAAAAGATTAGCAAAAATGGCTGCTGCATTGAAAGCATGCAAGTTATTAGATGAATGTGGTGAGTGAATTTTATTACTGCGTGCCTTTTTTTATTAATTTTAGATTTGTTTAACAGCTAGAATTTTATCTCCTGTCATATCTATCAGAACCTTCAAATATGAACTTTACATCCAGGAAACTCTAATTATAATCATGAATTTTTGTATCATGATTAGAAAAAGTTTTTTGAATACAATCAAATTCTGAAAATCCGCCAACTTCTGAAATCCGCATCGCCTCTCAAAATATAAACATTCAGTTTATAGGTTCCGGAAGCCGCAACATGGAGTACAAAATATTGAAGAAAAAATACTTACTGAATAATGACGTCATAATTACTGAATAATAATGAGTCATAATGGATATATCAAATTATTGACATCATGATAAAAGTTTTCCTCTCGCATCTGCATCGAGGTAAAAAAGCAGACGATTCACTCAACTCTTCTTTCAAGTTCAGGATTCATGTTCTTGTATTTTCTGAGCTTTATTATTTCACGAGATTACTTAGTGTTGCCGTTTTTTTTTTTTTAATCCGGATATTTTGTGGATAAATTATGAATATTTTAAATTTCAACACTTTTTAATACATTGACAGATAAGAAACGCACTCGTGGTACATTGCATTGAAGGTAATGCAAAAAGTGTAGTAATGCAAAAGGTACAGGTGCTATTTGCTACTCGTTTTATAGCAGAATCATGGAATTGCGACACGGACTGTGCATGATATACGGAAAAATAAAGAAAAGCTGCTGAAATTTTACAGCAGCAGTGATTCTAACACTGAATCCAAAACCGGAAATCTGTGCATGAGGCGAAATCGGCAAACCTTGATGCTGTCTTGTACAAGTGATTCCGGCAGCGGTGGAGTGATGGGGTACCAATTTCAGGACCACTTCGAGAGAAAAGGGGAAGCAGAATCATGCTGATTTAAAAAAGAGGAGCCGTAGTGATTTAAAAATAGAGGAGCCTAATGTAAATGAATAATATAATCAATTTATATATGTGTAATAATAATTTAATGCATATAATAAATTATTGTAATAATGTATATAATAATTTAATTAAATGCATCTAATACGCCATATTTATTTTGCACTTTTAGTCTGAATATTATGATTTATATTCTCTGTCCTGAAATCCATAAAATCCTAGAATCCGCACAACCTCTGGTCCCAAGCTTTGCGGATTTCTGGACCTTTACTGTATACTTAAAAATCATTATTTCCCTAAGAAAAGCCGTCAAGTATTATAAAATAAAAGAACTTCATATTCAGCATTTTCAGTGCGGCCTTGGTCAGCAGTAAATAGTTTTGCTTTATATTAGTAGTAAATAACTACTGGTTTAATAAGCATATAATCCTTATAATAAAAAAAGATTAAACTATATTCAGTTTGTTTATGTATGTTGCTCTGTTTCTGTAAAAATTTAATCTTTAACAGTAAGAAGTGCAACGAATCCCATCCTTTAGACCAGGGGTCCCAACCCTATGCCTGTGGGCACCATTGCACCTGCCAACAGTTTTACATGTCCCTGCTGCTATGCAACCATATTAAAAAAATGTTTCAGCTTCCAATAAAAGTGCTAAAAATGTTTTTATAGTTAGTAATTAAGTGGAGAATTGCAAGCATATTTATTTGAAAAGTTATTTGTTTGTTTACATGTTTATCATTTTAAATGGGCTTGCCATACATCCCGTTAGGACCTGAATTGTCCCAGTTTGAAGGTATGATCCCAGCCAGTGTATTTCATTACTGTTACTTGTTAAAAATAAATTTAATTATACATGCATTAAAATATTTTTAATGCCTTCTTGTACTACTGTGCTGTTTACTCTTGTCCATAGATGGTGCCACACACAGAGCATAATTATATGCTCTGTTGTGCCACATGTGAGGGGGTACTCATTTCATAAGTATTCGCATAAATGCTGTGTTATATTTCAAATTATACATTATTTTTTTGTGTACATGTCTCCTACTTTATTGTTGGTATTTTCTATTTCATTGTGGCCCACCAGCGGTCGAGCAATAAAATCGCTGAACACTGGTAGTTCGGTCTGAGGTTCGAATCCCGCGAAGGGGCTGGCTGCATGGGTGTTTTCGGGGTTTTCCCCCTGTGTAACGTATATACGAGCCAGTTTCCCTTAGAAAGTCCTCCATGAAGGCATCCCTACCCTTAGGCAGATAGCCCTCGAGGCTTTGCTATAATTAAATAACCTAACCTATTTCACTGTTTTTATATACTTTGCTATTTTAATCCTCAAATGATGTCTCAAGTAAAAAAAAAAAAAAAAATGAAAAAACATAATATTAAATGCCACTTATACAATTCATGCCATTTGTAATATGACTTATTCACTTAAATCTCGAGTAAGACAGAAGAACATAAATCAGTTAAAATCAAACCTGTTTGGTCAACAGTCATTTTTCACTAATCCTCTGGTGAAATTTAAAAATATCACTACAGCTTCTCTCAAAATTTCGCACATATTCACAAAGAAGAAAAACCCTTTTCAAGATGGTGAATTGTAAAAAGAAGCATTTTCAATTGCTGCCCACTGCATATTTGAAGGTGTAAACATAAGGTTATGTCAGCTACACAGGACTTGCAGTTGTCAGATAACATAATCACAATAAGATTAGATGCATTGCAAAAGACATGCAAACTCAGTTAAACCTGTGACTTAAAAATATGTGCCTGGTTGTGGTAACAGTTTTAAGAGTGTACAGATATATGAGACACTTCAGAGTTAGCAGTTGTGATGAGAATGGTATTTAGTAACTTTACTACAAGTGGAAACAACTGAAAATATGAAAGAATATGTGAAGATAACTACTACATATTTACAGCAAGTACAAAGTCAGAAGATATGCTTTTGTACAAACTATTGGTACTAACTATCAGCAGCAAGTAATATTGAATTTATTGTCCATTGCAAGAAAGATATCATTTCCAGACTTTATGCCATATCACTGTATCATCCACCGGGAAGTTTTGTGCCATAGAATTTTTAGACTTTGAACATCTCATGAAAGTATGTACAAAAATGAACTTTACTTGAACAATCCCTTTGCAACAGTGCCTTTTCAAGGCCATACTATAAAATCTTGAAGATCCTGATTTTATTGCAATCCTTTGATCCCTGTGAAGGGGGAATGTTCTTTGAATCCTTCAATCCCTGTGATTAATGATCTTCCTGCTTTCTCCTAGTACTACACTATTCATCAAACATTTGGGAAGATGTATGTGTCTCAGCAGCAGATATTTGTGACTTTTCTTTGTACTTTTGGCCCTGGGGGGTGGGATACTATGGAGAACTAACTTTTACTAACAGCCAGATCCAAGAGATGGCACTACTAGCTTTCTTTCTCTCATCCAGTAGGAGAGAGAATATGTGATGCCTGGAGCAGTTCATCTCTGGCAGCCATCAGCGAAGCATCGAACATAGCTCACTCCATATGAATAAAACTCTTACATAATCTTTGACCAAACTCAGTGCATTCTGTTTCTGTGTTAAAAATCCGTCCACGTTGCAGGCTGTAACATAGAGTGTCTATCTTGAAGTTAAGCTGAACATTGTTTTAAAAATGTAAAATGAATGCATCAAAATTGATAGTTGACAAATTAAGGATGTATCTAATTATACACGTGAAATGTTTTTATAGAAATACATTGTATATTTTTTTCACTTTAGTGGGTTTATTTTCCCTTTTTCATTCGAAAAAACGTAAGATATTATTCTTTCACATTAAATCTGTCTGTTATTATAGAAATTGGAAAGTATTAGATATGGTCTCATTGAGTGACCATTGTCATGTATACTTCGAAATTTCTTATTATTCAATGGCTAAAACTCACACAACCAAATATAAAATTAAAAAAAATGGATTGGCTAAGTCTTAAAGAGTTATTTGGAAATTACTTTGCTAAATTCACTCCATAATTAATAAAGGATTCAGTGTATTTAAATGGATTAATTATAAACTGGACCAAAATGTTTAAAGAATTTTGTGATCTAGCAATAAATGCCAAAGGGAAAGCAATTAATACCAAACATATCAGTGTCCCGCGGTGGACTCCAGAATTTTCCATCCTCAGAAAAAGAATCACAGCAGAACGTAAACGATACCAACATTGCATAAGTGACGAAGAATTACAAGAATCTTACAAAAGAGCTTACAAAAAGGACTTACTACATACAAAAGAGCATTATTAAAGGCAAAAAGAAACTCTTGGAATGTATGTTTGGTACATATTTCTCCAAACTCTCCATTTGGTATTCACTACGATTTTGCAAACAGGAATATCCATTCCCCGCTTCAACTAAAATCCATATTAAAACCAATATGAAAACTCAGTCTTCGAAGAAACAATCAAAGTGCTCCTAAACTATCATTTCCCAAGGAATAATCGGCAAGACAATCTTCCTGAACATACTCAAATTAGAGAAAATCTTAAAAAATGCCATGGAACGCACAATGATGTTCCATTTACTCAAACTGAAGTGGAATTTGAAATCCTTAAATCCTGGAAAGGCACCAGGAATAGATCAGTTACCGAGAGAAATAATATTAGAACTCTTTTATGTCAATCCACCAGTATTAACAGTGAATTACTGAGACGTGGTATTTTCCCAGATTTTTGGAAAATAGCTAAATTAGTCCTCTTTCATAAAGAAGGTAAGAGGGGTGAACTTCCAGAAGCATATCGGCTAATTTGTTTTTTGAACTATGGAGTAAAGTATTTGATAAATTAATTACTAATAGATTAAGTTATTTTCTGCATTCGCAAAAGAAACTGAGTTCCAAACAATATGGTCTCACAGCTGGACTATGTTCTTCAGATACTATAAAAAACATTATAGAAATTATTTAAATAATAGATGAAACAATACTATACAAATGTAATCTCTCTGGACATAAAGAAGGCCTTCAGCAACATCTGATGGGCGTATCTTTTACAAGAACTTTGTCATCTCAACTGTCCGCTCAATATCTATAAAGTGATTGAGAATCTTCTGGAAAATAGAAAGTTTAATTGTGAAATCAACCAAGAGCAATATTATCATAATCAAAAAAAAAAAAAAAAAAAAAAAAAAAAAGGATGCATTCGAGGATCCAACTCAGGACCTCTATTTTGGAATATAGTAATGAACACCGCTCTCCAGATTGATTATGGAGACAGTGTCCAGATTCAAGCATATGCCAATGACATTCTGCTTATTATAACTGGATCAACGTATCAACAAATACAAAATAGATCAAAACAAGGATTACAAAAACTGGTGGAATGGTACACCCATTGTAAACTTCAATTCTCTCCATAGAAATCAAGTTTAATGTACTAAAAAGAGAGGTGCAGCATAACTCTGCTCCGATGATTAAAGTGGGCACAGCTACTATCAAGAGACAAAAACAAATTAAATATCTTGGAGTCATTTTAGATGAATGCTTAACCTGGCTTCCATACTTGGATAATATAAAGTCAAAAATATGTAAAATCATTAAAAATCTTATGAAATTACCAGGTCTTTCTAAACCAGTTATTAAAGAGCTCTATAGGAGGGTAATAGAAAGAGTGGTGGTCTATGCGGTTGCAGCCTGGCTATGCCAACAGTTAAAATGCGGAATAGGGCCAACACGATACAATGTGTAGCGTTACTTGCAATGACTAAAAATTATAAAACCGCTCCTACTGCTTCTCTTCAACTTCTAGCGGGACTAATCCCATTGGACATAAAACTAGATATGGAATGTGCAGTTCAAAGAACAAAAAGAGGATGGTCTGACTTCATAATGAATGATACTGTTATTCCTAGAACTGATATTTATTGCCCTCTTAATAAATGGCATACACACCCAGCTCAAATTAAAACATTCTCCTGGGATGATAAGCCTCCTTCACGTAATGGATTGGAATTATTTACAGATGGCTCCAAGAACGAGGACGGTACAGGAGCAGGCTTCTGTACAGTGTGGAATGGTAGAATCACGGAGGAATTCTCAATAAAATTGGACAAGACTTGTTCTGTTTATCAAACGGAAACTTTAACATTAAAATCAGAATTGCAATGGCTTAAATCTCAAAAACTGTCTGCTAATATTTATACAGATAGTCAAGCAGTCTTGAAATTATTAGAAAAGTATGACATCTATAATACTTATATCATTGATGTTAAAAAGCTCCTGACACATACAAAAGCCAAGATTCACTGGATCAGAGGCCATCAAGGCTCCACCAGAAACGAAAAGCAGATGAATTAGCAAAGCAAGGAATATACCGTATTTATGCGAATCTAATGCGCATAGTTTTTGGCCAAATGTAGTATTCAAAATTGGGGTGCGCATTAGATTCGATGGCGCATTATATTCGAGTGCAAAATTCGCCGATGACGTCAACCAAATTTCTCGACTACATTTACCGTTACATTTATCGTTGACACATTATTGCATAGAGGATACAAACTGCAGAGTACGTAGTCACGAAATAGAGGGCAAACAAAGAAGAATGTCATATGACATTCTTCTCTGTTGCCCACTTTCAAAACTAAACTAACACTTTCAAAATATAAATAAACACTAACACTTTCAAAATATAAATAAACCTTTTAAAGGGGTACGTTCAGGCGGAGTACGAAAAAATGGTTTTGTGAGCCAAATCGTGTATTGACCCCGACAGGAAAAATAAAGCGTCCTGCACCGCACACTGTTGCACACTGGGTTTCTGCTGCTTGGAAAGCATCGAAGCACCAATGATTGTGAAATCTTTCAAAAAATGCTGCATTTCAAATTCATTGAATGGAAGTGCCGATGACGTGCTCTGGAACGATGAGGATGACGATGACGATGATAAGGAAAGAGGAAATGAATCTGCTTCTGACGAAGAGAGCTGCGAGGATTCCAGTGATGAAAACATTAGTGAATAAAGACGTTTACTATTAATCACTGATTGTAGAAACTGTTAGCTAGATAGAAATGTTACGATTTATTTCATGTTCATATTTTACGATAGGTACAGTATATACGGTAGTACTAATTAACAATGATTGTTTCACATGACAATAGCCCACTAATAGGTTAATTCTATGTTCTGCTACTTTATGTATAAATCCATTGTTGTATAAAATATGGTATCTAAATTTAAATAAAATTATCATACCATTGATTGATAGTTTATATGCAAATCCATTGTTGTATAAAATAAGATTCAATAAATTCCTCATACCATTGATGCGCATTACATTCGCCGACAAACAATTTTTTTATTATTTAAAGTTTTAAAATGGGGATGCGCATTAGATTCAATGGCGCATTAGATTCGCATAAATACGGTATTCTTCTAATCAAATAGAATGCAAAACTCCTCTCAGCTATATAACAAGAGCTGCCAAGGAGACAGCTTTAAAGATGGCAAAAGAGATGGCATAAAGATGATACCGGACAAATAACATATAAAATAATTCCAAAAGTCTCTGAAAAAAGGCATCTTTGTGATTTCTTTCTGAATCAGATCCTTACAGATCATGGAGCGTTCCTGTCATACATTAACAGATTCAAGCTAAAAGACTCGCTTCGACAATGTCAATGTGGATCATTGACAGAAGATTAAATTGATATGATTGTGGACTGTCCTAGTATTGCTAATAAGCGCAAAGAGCTATTTCCACAAACTTTAACTTTTGATCGTTTATGTAAACTTATCTCAATGGATAAAGTTGCTGTTATCCCTCCTTATGGAATATATTTATGTTAACGAAGATGTTTTATGTGTTTAATGTTTTAAAAATCATGTGTTATTGATGGCATTTATTGAGTATCATTCATTGTAACCTTTCATGTAGCAAACTAAATATTTTTCTGTATTCAAAAATTGCTACTATGTTTCTTATACTCATATTTTGTTTAAATGTCTTTTCATATTACTGTATCTTTCCAAGAATTGTATGTATGTATATAGAACATAATAAAGATGTTGGCGAGGCCAATACATCTTCTAGTTAGAAGACTTCAAAATTATAACTAGAATTCTAAATTTAATATTTAATTAGACTTTTTCTCTTTTAGCTTTTTGCTTCAAATTTATTCTTTTTAGCCTAAGGCTCCGGTGATACCTTAGTATAGAAGTGCGGACCGGATAATCCATCTTTACGTTATTAATTAATAAGCATTTAAAAGCAATAGGTGAAGATCTTAAAAATATTATTTTTTACATTTCAATCTGAATGATTTAAATAAAAATGCATTTAATTCACCATATATCTAATTGAAATAATTAAATATTAAATAAAATTAAATAATTATTTTTATATTAAAATATTTTATATAGAATTGCATTACTTTTTTTTTCAAATATGCAGAAGATATATAACATTCCCATATTAGTCTAAAATGCATATTCATCTAATATAAAACATTTTTCCACCTTGGCCATATATATTGATAATCTCTTTTCAGACTTTTTTAAATTAGATTCATTATTCACTTCTTTTGGTAGAAGTGTCAATGTTAATCAGCTTTTTCCCAATTCTTCTTCTAATGCTTTTATTCTTCATTTAATTTTTACACGTTCTTGTGAGATAATCTATTTTTCTTTTTGGGTATTATATAGTGAACCAAACTTTTCGTCAGTGGGATTTGACTGTGTTTTCCATCTTAAGTTTTAGTATATACATGCTTAGAATGAGAAATGAAAACAAATTTTTATTAAATCGTTTGTAAAGACAAGATCTTCTGTTCAGAGTAGATTATTAGAGGTCTTCTATGAAGTTATGTTTCAAAAAGATGTTAGATAACTGCATATGTTTGACTTATTTTAAGCTTATTTCAAGCCATAGTAAAAATAAAAAGTAGATTTACTATCTGTCTTAAAAACTGGAAAATCCAAACTGAATTCTGCAAAATGCAGTGTGTCTTTGAAATTTAAATCCCATTTTATGCTTTGTTCTTGTAGTTTCGTGTTTCTGTGTTAAGAGTTAGTATATTTAATATTTCATGCACTGAATTTTACTTTTGTTTCCCCAGGTGAATTAAATGAACATTTAGTGCCTGTAAGTTGTTTAGTGGATAAAGCGTTAGAAGAAGAATTGGGTCCATCTGAGGAAGAAATTACTGATGGAGTTCAACCTGGAACAAAGAAAAGAAAACAGCCTTATAAGAAACATGTATGCAGCTTAATTTTAATTATTTTGTCTTCAAGATTTGAATATGGATTACGGTTAGATAGAACATAATAGGGTACCATGTTGCTTGTCGATAATGTAGCTGATTGATAGTGGCCAAGTTGGCTTAAGCTATATACAGTACAAAGTCCAAGATCCGGAATGATCTAAAATCCAGACCTCAAAACTACAAACTTTTTTTTTAATGCTTTGCGCATGTGCATTTGATTTTTTCCCCCATAAATAGAACAACATGTGGAGAGTGCCGAATCTTAATTTCCCTTTGGCACTAAATACCTCATTATTGAAGAAACAATAATTTTTTGCATAAATTTGTGTCATCGATAATTTGGATCTGTAGCTGCATATCTGCTTGGCATACATCTCAAATTGAGACATCATTGATTTTACACCTACTAATATTTTATACTCAGACTCCAACCTGGTGAATCATTACTTATTATATTTTGCTTTCATGGCTGCATGTTTATCAATACATGACAACTTGAGTAATTACTCATGCAGCGATGCCCAAAAAATTTGTTTTATATTAGTATTTTAATAAATAAAGAGTATGGTAATCTTTTATGTTGAAATTACGCATGGCACCAATGATTACAGATTTAAGTTAAATAAACTAGAAAATATTGATGAAGAAAAATTTAACAAAAAATTCTTTCCATATGCTAAAAATAGAATTTGTTAATAATACTAATAGGCCAGAAGATAAGATGACAATTTAGTGTTATTTGAATCAAGAATAACCGATTTGTTTTTCACATAAACCCAGAACCGGTGCCAGAGCTCGTATGACCGCGCTAGGCGACAGAATTTAGGGAAGACAAGATTTTTGGAATTTATAGAAGCACTGAGTAAGCAACAAAATTAAGGGATGAAAATATTTTTGGAATTTGGGAAAGCACCAAGATCCAAAATATAGAGGCTTTCAAAAATACTAATAAAATTTATTTACAAGAATATGTAAGAAATTGAAATAACTGAAGATACAGGTACACTGCTCAAAAAAAAAAAAAAAAAAAAAATGGGACAGTCCTATATCTCCCGATCTACTGGGCCGATTAACAAAATTCAAAATGCGTTCTTCATGTCTCGAAAGCGCGACTTAGGATATATATTAGATTTATATATAGCACTATTCTAACATAGGTATTTTGACACAAAATCGTACTTTTTCTGAAATAACATACCAGTTTTTTTACATATTTCGATTCTACGACTCAAATTACGCCTAAATATGAAATTTTGTAAAATTTGGAGCAAAATTTATGGAGAAATTCACAAATTTGTGTTGGCACTATTTTGTCAATGCGCCAATTTGTTTGCGCCAAGAATAGTTCACTTGGCGAACTTCTTAACCCCTTAACTGCCGCGGGCGTATATATACGCCTTGCTCAGCCGATGCGTTCACTGCCCCAGATGCGCAGCCGATGCGTTAACTTTGCGAATAATTTTAGGTGTAGCAGCGCAAAGCAAATGATAGCAGTTTGGAAGGACGTATATATACGCCTGGGGCAGTTAACGCATCGGCTGAGCAAGGCGTATATATACGCCCGCGGCAGTTAAGGGGTTAATATATGGCAACCTAGTTTCCTTTCCCGTGAGAGGAAAAAAAGTCACCATCGTTCCTTTTTTCCAAATAATATTCTTTATATTGTATTTTTAATTATAACTTATTATTTTAAGTAATTTTTTCTTTTTCAAATTTCATTTTAATTGTTTCAGTTGCATGTTTTTTTCGAATAACTGTTTTAAAAATTTCTATTTACCTATTCGAACTGCGTAAATAAAGGTGCAGCGTTTATTTTTTTTCCAAATAGTTTTCTTTATATATATTTTTTGTCATAGTTATTATTTTAGGTAATTTTTAAATTCTTATACTTTTATTTTAATTGTTTGTGTTGCATTGTCTCTTCAGATAATTGTTTTAAAATTTTCTATTTATTCCTTCAAACTGAGCATTTTAAATAAATTTTCCAGAATTTGATTTTATTTATTTGAATTGCGTTTCTTTCGGAGGAATACTTTGTAACCCAGATTACGAAAACTGCATATATTAAAAGAGTAAATACAGTAAAGCATAGTTAACACGACTTTCAATGTTCCGTTCAGAAAAGATATATATAAATAAGAGAGATGTATAACCGACATTTTAACTTAGGATGACTTGCATACACTGCTTTAAACAGTTTTATCATTGTGCCCATTGCTTTACACAATTTTATCCTACATTTGGTTTCTTAAATGTTATTCATATTTTAGTCAAATATTTTATTTTTGAAATCGTAAGAATTAAATATCATAAGATTAAAAAGTTTTAAATTAAAAAAAAAATACAAATACTAAATTTTACCCCAAAATTTATTTTTTCTTCTCTTTTTCTTCAGGCATTCTACTTTATTCTTGCTCTTTTTCTTTAGGCATTCCGCAAGTATATTAAAAAGCATCCAACTTTTCGAAATATCTTGATATTTCTGACAATCATTTTAAATAAAGTTATCGCCTTCCATTTCATAAAGGCCCACAAACGGCCGAGCGGTAAAGTCCCTGAACACTGGTAGTTCACTCCGGGGTTCGAATCCCGGTAAACGGGCTGGTTGCATGGGTGTTTTCGTGGATTTTTCTCATGTGTACCGTGTATGCCAGCTGGTTTTCCTTTGAAAGTTCTTCACAAAGGCATCCTTCCTTTTAGGCAGATAACCCTGCTTTGACATAACTTAATAATCCAATTGAATCCATTTCATCAATATTTGGTCAGAGCCTTTATCAGTCTTTAGAGGCTAAACATTTTGAAGGTATGAGATGAAAGAAAAGACTGGTTTCATCAAGAGGTTTTGGTTTATTTAATTATGACAAAGCACACTAGGGCTATCTGCCTAAGGGTAGGGATGCCTTCGTGGAGGACTTTCTAAGAAAACTGGCTCATATACACGTTACACATGGGGAAAACCACGAAAACGCCCATGCTGCCAGCCCGTTCGCGGGATTTGAACCTTGGACCGAACTACCAGAGTTCAGCGACTTTACCGCTCGGCCGCTGTTTATTCAGGAGGGAAAAAAACACCTTTAGGTGACATTCACATACAATACTGGATAAACTCCTGAATCTTCAAATAATTCGACTGAGAAAATCATGGGATTCTCCATTTATGGTACGATATGATGTTCTATAACGTAAATTAAATTTATACAACCATATAGTTTAAAACCAGTCGCTCTTCACTTTAATCTGCAATGATATCGTTTTTGTCTTTTCTGATAACACAAGCTCAATTGATGGATTTGCTGGTGTACACGCCCAAGTGTTTTCTCTTTGAACGCCTAAATTCTTTGAAGTAACCTGAAAGTATATTCAATAGCGTCCAACTTTTTAAAATATCTTGGTATGTCTAAGAGCCAAATTTACCCTGCAAATTTTTGCTTGCTTTTCTCCCTAATTTTCTTCTTTCCTTCTACAGTTATTTTAAGTGCTCACACAAGAAAATTAAGATTTTTCAATTGCTAGATTTTCATAAATTTTGCATTCTTGTCAATTTTTTAAAATGTCAATTGCGTCAACTGTGTTTCAGCTGAAGACAGCTTTTCATTCTCTAGACATCTTAACTATAAACAAAATATAGAGCAAAGTTCAAAGGATAAATATTTTAATTAAAAGATTTTTTGCTAAATGACAAAGAAATAAAACAGTCCAGCAGTGTTTATTCTTCACCAGAGTAACCCGATTCTTATATCGGCTGAAACAATCTAAATCATATTAAAGATCATGTTTTTTATGCAATCTATAACGCGAGGGAAAAATTAGCTTCTTAAAACATTTTTTCTAAGAAGATTAATATAAAAGATTATATTTATATATATATTTTTAAAGCTGGGACTTGAACCAAACTGTCAAACTTTTAAAGTTTAATTTACATGGTGGTTATAATTAAAGTTCCAATTTGAAATGGTCATAAAACGAAAACTACTGGACCAAATGTTATCAAACTTGGGAATCGTGTAAAGGAGGTTATGGGAATTTATTTTCCGCGGAAAAAGAAAGAGTTCAAAAACTCACCACCAGGGGGAAAATGGCGCTGTATACAATATTGTTAAATGAAATAAGACACGAAAACATCTGTTTAAAATGCGTTTAATAGTTTCCGAAACGTGTTACAAAGCATGTTCAATGTAGCGTCCAGCATTTTTTGAAACTAAGTTAAATCCTGTTACTGCATTCTCGACAGCAGCTCTTAGCATATCAGGAGGAATGTTACGGACATGTCAGTGCATCACATCTTTCATTTCTGCCAAATTGTTTAAATTATCACCATAAACAGTGCTTTTGAGATAACCCCATAGCCAAGAGTCACAAAGGTTGAGGTCTGGTGGGAAGAGGGGAAGTGTTGGCCTATAAGACTTTCATTCGTGAAATGTTGCTAAGTAACTGTGCGACACACGTGAGGTGGGGCCCAGCCCTGCATAAAAATGGTAGTATCTAAAATGCCACGTTACTGCAGTTCATGTATCACGAAACATTTTAACATTGACTCTAAGTGAGCTGCAATCACAGTGGTCCAGCTGTTCAGTCCAGTCAGAGAAAAATGGTTCAGTTATAATAGTAGCTGTCATTCAACACTAAACGGTGTGGAATGACTGCTATGCAATCGAATTCAGTAGGAGAATGCAATGGAACTAGATAGATAACATGAGAGATTTCTTTGGCCCAAATCGATTAAAAGCGTTTTGAATCAGTATCTTCATGTTTTAGGGCCGAATTCGGGCTTCAAAAATTACAAATTAGCGATCTGTAAGAAAACGATTTCCAGATTGTACGCACTTGCGCGAGTGATTTCCGATCTCACATTTTCTAATCGCTAATTCGTGGTTTTCACGGACGAATTTCTCACTTACACGGATGGCGCACTCGACTTTTACCGAATTTAACGCCTTTAAAAAATGGTAATTTGCCTACTTCAAAGTTTCTTAAGGGTATACAACATATTAAA